CCGAGGGTTCGGATCCCACATACGGACCGGTTCCCGCTCACTGGCTGAGCGAGGCGCGGGAGCAACACCGAGGGTTGCGATCCCATTGCCGGTCCCGGTCCGGTACGGGGGCAACACTGAGGGTTGCGATCCGTTGCCGGACACGGAAAAAGACAAAAAATAAAAAATAAAAAAAAAGAAAAGAAAAGAAAAAAGAACCTTTGCAAATAGGCAAACCAACAAAGCTGGCAGTGCTGACAAGGAGAAAAACATGCATCGCGGGAATCACACTGGGCACCCAAGGTGAGTGGCAGCAGAGAAATAGAATGGGACACTTACACAGCAGCTACCTGTCAAAGGGTCCTGATGCCTACTGTGTTCTGAAACCATCGAGACAGAACAGCAGGATGGGAAGGATGTAGTCACAAACAATCCACCAGATGACAACACTACACAGGGCAGAGGTCAGCACAGCTAGGGGGCATCTGGAAAGGGTGGAGGGGAAAGAACAGGTGTTCAAATTGGAAAGCCAAAATTAATAATGCAATAAATAAATAAATAAAACCATACGTGAATTTAAGACACCCAATGGGCCCAGAACAGCAACTGGGAGGCAAAGGGGCAGGAAACAAGGATGGAGTTTTGCTGTCTTACGCTGGGGAAAAATGATGTCTTCAGTTTAAACAGGTTTGATATTTAGGAACAAAAGGTTACACTCAATCTCTAGTTGGATAACTGCCCCATATTAATTTAACTATATGATACTGAAATGGGTCATAGCTAAACGACTGAGTTTCTTCAAAAAGCACAAGATACGCACACACAGAAAACTAACCCAAACCACAGAGGAAAAAAAAACCCAACCCTAGACTAATTAACAAGATCACAGGAGGCACAATGGTAAATTATACATGAACACAGCACAGCAGAATTCATCTCATTTCAACGGAGTCATAACTAAATCCCTGTGTGCTCCAGGGATTCAGGTGGATGCACATGCTGACGACGTGGATCACAGTGGCACACTCAGCGCAGCAACACAGAGCGAGCACGCGTCTCTGTGCACTCACACCGCGCTTCCTCGGCTGTTTCCCCTACTCTCTCTCCTTTGTGCGGTCCACGTGGCTTTCCGCTTGGTGTTTCTTAATCCACTGCTCTGGGTTCTGGCAGCGAGGAAGGCAACCCTACATTTGGAAGAGCGCACCTTTTCAACCACTGCACTTCCAGGTGGTCACCTGGACACATCTGTGACTAATCACGGAAGGCTCTTTTGAGCATCTGCTGTGTGAGTAGTACTGGGCTGGTCCAGTTGGACATACTGATGTGGGCTACTATGTCACCTTTATTGTTGACCTCATCATTGTTATAATTAAGAGCTATGTGCCAGGTGCCCAACATGGTGAAAAGGGATTAGATTAAAAGGTGAACCTAAGATAAAACCTAACCTCATCCCACAAATTATACTTATACCATCTAATTTAATCTTCCCATAAAAAACCTAATATATATTCCCATAAAAAACCTACTAATACATATTTAATCTTCCCATAAAAAAGTCTACTGATACATATTCAGGTTACAGGGGTTTAATATTTAAGTGGAATGGAATAAATGGCTTAGGAACACTACAGAGCTCTCTATCCGCCCCAGCCTTCATCTGCAGTTACTAATGCAACTGTCACCGACCGCAAAGGCAGGACGATCTGAGTGTGCAGACGTCTGCATTATTGTTCCTCTGGTGAAGTTCACAGCATAAGAATTCTTTTCCATTGATAAACACGTACCCATCTCTACTGCACTGTTAAGAGGGACTTAAAGGACTTTCCAGGCTAATTATAGCCCCATTTTTACCTTATTTCCATGTAGGATGCAGCTCCACTCTTCATGTATCATTTCGTTTACCCCTAAAAAGCCCTGTTAAGACTGTGGGAATTTGCTAACTGTAATTATGACATATAGTCCAAAGAATGCAGCAACCTCCTTATTGTGTTAATAGTTCTTCTCTTTTGAATATCTACTGTGTTGACCAATTGAACAGTAATTCAAGTAGAGTGTCCCAGAAGAAAACCCCTTGGGCTCCCTGTTTGGAGTCTGGCTGGCTCTGAGTATTGCCACAGGCCCCGACCTGGCCTGACGCCATTGTGCCCTCCTTTCAGAGGTTCTGCGCCCAGCATTCAGCTTCCGTAGCCGCGGGCTGGAAAGCAACCGTGGATTGAGTGTTTTGTTTGGAAGTTACTTGGCCAGGGTCTTTCGAACAGCAGTGGCCCAATGACGTACTAGACATTACTTATGTAAGAAGGGCTTTTTATTTTTGTTTTTTAACAATACCCTTTCAGAAATTTCTAACTACTTAGTAACTGTATGACTTAAACTGGTGATAAAAGCTGTTATGAAAAGCCGTCTCCCAAAATAAACAAAAAGTTAACCCTAGCAAATGTAGGAGAGATGATGAGTACGCAGAAAGAAAAGGCGGGCGGCTCATGCTGTAAACCTACCAAGCTGATTTAGTGTGACTTAAACTGGTGATAAAAGCTGTTATGAAAAGCCGTCTCCCAAAATAAACAAAAAGTTAACCCTAGCAAATGTAGGAGAGATGTTGAGTACGCAGAAAGAAAAGGCGGGCGGCTCATGCTGTAAACCTACCAAGCTGATTTAGTGTGAACAGGACACTTGCCTCTGGATCCTGAGGGCTCAGTGCATCAACGCGATTTACTGTCTTCCAGGTAGTCGGGATCAGACAGGCTCTCTAAGAAAATGGCTATTTTACAATTTCTAAAAACTTTAACTCTCCCCAGTGCTGCAACGCCATTTACTGTCTTCCAGGTAGTCGGAATCAGACAGGCTCTCTAAGAAAATGGCTATTTTACAATTTCTAAAAACTTTAACTCTCCCCAAATACTGACCACTTATAAAAGAGAAACCAGTAATTGGAATATTTTATGCACTGTAACTTTCTCCTAAGAATCACCAGTGCTTGTCTATTTCTCACTAACTTGCCTTCTTGCAAGTAGTTTCTTATGGCTAAGTACCAAAGTAACTGGCCCACAGTAACAGACAAGTCACAATCAGGGACAAGCTGCTTTGACCGCTTTCTCTCAGGGGATTTTTATTTCTAAAGCAATAACAAAGGTTTGGGAGGGAAAGCAAGGAAATCTTCAACTGACCTCCTCTCCTAGGGCCAAAAGAGCTCCAAATAATTGCAAATAATTGCAAAGACGGTCTGAAAAGCAGAGGAGGGAAAAGCACACTGCTGTGAAGTACAAGGAAGGGACTTGGTGAGACTCGTCTAAAATGCCCTGCATAATTAAAGCTTAGAAAAACTTAAGCATTTTGCTTTCTTCTTTATTGCTTTCTTCTTTATAAGTGTGGCCTAAAAGTTTGTTGTGTATGGGGGCAGGCAGTTTGGGGCTATTATATTGTTTTTAGGGTTACAATTACAAAATGGGGTTCTCAGCTGCCTTTAAAAAAAAAAATTTTAAAAAGCCTTTTCCCACTGATTTTACTTGATTTTAACTTAATGCCAGGAATACTTCAGTGCACAAGGTCAGTGTGCCCTTTTTCCCTTTAGAGGGTAAGGGAGGTGTGTTACTAGAAACCTGGAGAGAGGCTAGCACAGAAGTCTCCTCAATATCTGCTGGCTCCTTTCACACAGCCGACTCCTCACATAACCCAGGGAACAGAATGCCACCTAGGGTCACCTCTGGTATCAATGATACTTACAATTTTAATCTTCACTACTCTTTTTTTATATTACCACAAACCTATCAGCTATGAAAGAGAATTTTATAGTCTCAACTTTTCTGGAAAAGAGCAACAAGTGATTTGAACTCTTTAGAAAACCTATTTACGAGGGTAGCAGGCTCAGAGGGTGACTAAAGAAATTTTCCCTTAAGCCCTATTTAACAAGAATTTTTGACTAGGCAAAATTTGTTTCCTCTGACTCTCAGCATGACTTGTGTACAGAAAGCAACACAATATTGAGAAATAAACTAATGATGCAGAGTCTTAAAAACAAAACAAAAAACTTGGGCACAGCTAAAAGCAACCCACCAAAGCATCAATTTTCTAGGGCTTGAGATTCAAAGTGCGATCCCCGGACCAGCAGTAGCTGCAACAATGGAAAGCTTGCTAGAAATGCAGAATCTCAGACCCCAGCCCAGACCCACTGATCGACCCATATTTTACAAGCTTCCCGTTGACTCAATGGGCACTGAAGTCTGAGGAGCATGCCCAGGGCACAGTCTGCTTCCTGTATTTCTAGAATCAGTTGCAGGATGATTATCTGCAGGCACTATAACATTTCTACATAAGAAGAAGTATTAAAGCCTTAGATGAAGACTTTTAATGAAATTAAAAACAAAATGGCATTTGGAGTTAAATAAATCATACAAAAGGTTTCATTCTTACAGCAGTCCAGTTGACTGAAGCACCCGCAAGCTGAAAGAGAATGCTTAATAAATGCCTTTCATCAATATTAACACCCTACAGTTACATGGCACTTTATATTGGAAAACTTGATTTTTGCTTTGAGGTCTTTTAAGAATCTCCCAGAGGAGCAACCCATGATGACACACACCTTATATGTAATTCTACTTTAGAACTTCAGATTATGAGGATATACCAGTGAAGAACCACTTTTAATTGAAAAGAAAGCCTGTTCTCTGCTAATATTAATGATTTATTATATCAACAGTTCCATACATATTACAAGATGCTTACTGGACAAAATGAACTATGTCTACCCTGCCAACTGGCCCCCAACAGAAGGCTGGCAATTTGGTGCCCTACAATGACACGGGAGGTTACTAGAGGGAAAGAATCCAGCGACAGGTGGGAGCATCTACTAAAGAATAGCATAGAAAAAAGTGCAAGGCCATGTACTTTGTTTCTACATATTTTTCTAACTATTCTGGATGTTCCAGGAGGTTGAATCCAAATTAACACGCATATACAAGAAAGTATATGTGGACATATAGACAGTCACTAACTATAATATTTCCTATTCTCATGCTAAACCTCCTATAACTTGAAAATAATTTCCTAAGCCAAAAATACAAAAATATAGTTTAGACCACTTCATTGTTGCCCCAAAACACTACAATGACATTAAACCATCATGTCACAACTGGCTAAATTCTACCACATCAAAGCAAATGATCTGTAACATGGCAGTGAATTTAAAGAAATTCATAGTTTTAATAACTATGGACAAGTCTGTTTGTTATTCTGGGCTTTACATCTGTTGCCACTCTCTCTCTTTTATCCATGGAGAAAAAGTATTCCTAACATTGCTTCCCTACCTATAAAGGCTTATGAGGTTACAACAAAAGACACAGATAAACAAAGGATAACCGAGAGCTTCCTAGGTTTTAAATTACATTATCATTTCAAAATGGTATGATGGGCATGCAACTATGGAGAAAAATATACAGGGAAAAATGCTCGTGAAGGACCCAACACAAGTTAAACATCATCTACCACAAGAAAGGAAACTAGACTCACGTGAGAGGAATAGTGTTTGCTTTTGATTGTCTTCTGCTTTTCAGGGCCCGAAGTCTATCACCTTGTGTCACTCCACCGATTTCGTCGTCATCACTGTACTGTATAAGTAAAAGAACACTGAGCTAATAATGATTGAAGCTGCACTCAGCAATGCAGCAAAGCATAGCGGCTACTTATCCACACCCATGCACACATGCACGCTTCAGGATTTCTGTTCAACTCCAACCTACTCTTCTCCTTTCAAAATCAATCCACAGGTTACGTTTCAAGAAAACCAAGGTTGCGTTTCACAGACACAAAACGCAAAAGCACTCTTGATAAAACATATTGACAGTGAAAAGGCATAAAGGGCTTTCAATTTGAAAACATTGTTTTATAAATTTCACAATCTTCTTACTACCACTTAATTTAGTACTGCTACCCCCCTAAACCCTTGGTTCTTTAGAAGTTCTCCATTTGACAATTATTAGTTTCCTAGATCAGCTGCCAGGAGATGGGGAAAGGTGGCAGTGGCAGGGGTGGGGGAGAAGCTGGACCCAGCTAAGCAGCTTACTTCACAGACCTCCCCCCCACCTGTGCCTAGTGAGTATAACAAAAAACAAAAAAACCCTAGTTTTATAAACATACAACCTTGTTTTAACTATTTTGAGTAAAAAATTCCTGGGAGGGTTTAAAATATAAAAAACTATAACAATAATCCCTCAAAATGTGCTTTATTATTTTTATCTACAATTTTCTCCATGCCCTAAAGGTTCCCAACAGCATTTAAAGCAATACCACCACCACCATGGGGATGGTTCAAATTACCGGTTCAGATTCTTGCTTGTCTTGATTCTTGACCCCATTTATTGAAATGTCATCGACACCCAAGAGGAGTCTGGAGAAGGATGATCTGTGTTGTCCATTCTCCTGCCCCCTTAACTTTTGACGAAAATAGTCACCTTCCAGCCAGAGGCTTGATTGTTTCCTAGAGCATTTAAAGAACATCAAAATGCAACTTTCCAAAAAGATATATGAACAACGTTTTCCTCCCAGACTACCTGTTGTTACTGGAGGCTAAGGAAAATTCCTCGTCCCATGAGTTTCCATACCCACGTGTTCCCTGAGGAATTACAAAAGCCTTCCGTCTACTTACATCATCAAAAATTGTTGCTGAGGCCCAATCACGGAGCCAGGTCTACAGATCCTGACCCACGCGATGGTCTCGGCGGCCGTCATCCTGTAGTGCTTCATTATGTAGCAAGCTATCAGAGTGCCCGTTCGACCCAGGCCAGCTAGAAAAAGAAAAGAATCAATGAAACCTGGTGTCAGGTACTCCAGAATTTTGTTGGGCAGGTAGAATTTTTAAGCTTCTCATACTTCTGCTTCCTTCAAAAGTGGTTCTCGAGGTTAGTTACATTCTGCTCTCACCTGGAGAGTTTTAAAAATACTGATGCCTGATGTCACCCCCAGAATTTAGATGACTCCATGTGTAGCCAAGATTGAGAATGACATTCTGAGCAACGGCCCTCAGTAAGCGCAGTGTTGCCCACCCTGGGTAGGAATGGCACTACAATCTTTCTGAGAGCAAGGGAGAAAAGAAAAAAAATACTGATGCCTGATGTCACCCCCAGAATTCAGATGACTCCATGTGTAGCCAAGATTGAGAATGACATTCTGAGCAACGGCCCTCAGTAAGCGCAGTGTTGCCCACCCTGGGTAGGAATGGCACTACAATCTTTCTGAGAGCAAGGGCCTGAAATCTTGCACGTCCTCACACATCCACCTGTGCTTTCTACTTTATTTG